TCCTCAAATTTAATCAGTTTAGTTTTGGAGAGGGTCGATCACCAATTTGTAATTGCCTTGTTCAATCTTCTTGATGAATCAAGTCGATGTGATTTCGATTCAAAACGTTTCGCTTTTTATATGCTTCACAGCGATCACGTGATTTAATTCGAGGCACGTTAATCGTGACGCTAGTGACATTGAACAACAATTAACGATAATTTATTTTTTCTTTTTGAACGTGATTTTATTTCTTTTAAACGTTGCGCGATGCAACGCTGTGATGTCATTCACGTTTTTTAAGAATTCATGTTTTAACATATAATAAATGGTATTTGCACATAATCCGATTTGTTTTTTGTTCTTTTATTTTATTTTAATTATTGAGAAAGAGACAAAAAGTGCACGATAGTCATCATGACATTGTAATTTTTATATTCTGTATTAAAAAATTTATTCAGAAACACTTTTGTTTGGTTAATAAAAATAATTGAATAAACTCGTAGTTAGGGGAGAAACCTTTTGAACGTATGTATATACATACGTTTATTCGAAATCGTAAAATGGTGGTCTCCCAGAAGCAATAAAAGTATACATTTTTTTAAGTGAACGTCAAAGCTGCGACAGTTCGAGTTATCGAACTGCAAACCTTGTACGAGTGGTTCAGTTGTTGAAATTTCCACCTTATTCAATCTTCGCATCAGTCATTGAATATACACAGCATCAAATTTGAATTGCGTTTCACAACTTCACAAATGAGGTAAGTTTGAAATGATGAAAGACTGAAAAGTATCGTGCAAAATCCGAAATAACTTACATTTTAGCGAAATGGTTAGGTTTTTTATTTTACGTGATATACAAATCAAAAACAATTTTCTAATATTCAGTCAATGTCAATTATCTAATTCAAGAACTCACAATTTTTTATCATTTTATTTTAAATCGGTGCGTATTATTGATTGCTCCATGGTTAAGTATTGCAGATTTATTACTTGAATACAGTTACTACACGAAAAATATTATGATTGACAAAAAATTCTTGTGAATGTCACAATGCAAAAATATACCATGGTTTAGATTTTTACAATAGCACAAACAACATTCGCGAAACAAAATGGCTGATTTTAATAACCATGATCTCAATAAAGTTCATTTGATTATCAACAAATACGTGCTATATTTTGTAGCAAGTCGTGATAGAAAATAAGCGAAGTTATTTTTATCTGTTTGTCTGCTACTACATACCGGTGCCTAAGGGGAAGTGAAAATAATAAATAATTGTGCAAAGTCATTGAGACATTTTTCCTGCTTCTGAAATCAAGTATAATGTCGTGATAGAGTCGTAAAAGACACATTTAATTCAATTTAAACTAATTTATGATCATATGTTTCACGAAATCATATTTGTTCATTGTTCACCAACCAATAGTGAAAAAAGAACAGACTGCATTATCTGCCCCTCTAACTACTGCGTTCCGACATTTGAAGAAAGCAACATTGAATTAATGAAATACGAAGCATAAGACTGAACCGAAAACCTCCAAAATACTAACATTGTGTCCCTTAAACATAAGAGAGAGCTTTGAGATTGACGATAGCTTACATTAACAAGCAAGCGCTAGAGGTTTTTAGCTTCTTTACTTGTAATGTTAAAACATTACAGATTTACATTTTCAAAACTCTAAGTATATTATATATGTCAATGCAAAAAGACATGAAACGAGGTAGGGTTTATCCAAAGTATTTTTCATGTTGTTTTGATGCAGTGTTGATTGCAGAAGTTTTTGTTATTATCTGTTTTGTATATTGATGATATATATCGTTTAGTGTGGCATTTTGAAATGAGTTTGCTTGTAATACTAAATTGCTATTTTAGGCAATTTTTTAATAATATCTTTTTACGACACCAAAGATTATTGCACTGTTGTCTGGATTTATAATAAATAAGTCTTATAATTCGGAACAAGATACACGGTATTATTGATATGGCTTTGTAATTATTTTTCTTTGAGAAGCGATTTGTCAGCGTTTGTTTTTTAATGTGACACGTGTTGTTGCATCACGCTTAATAGCTTTTCGACATCAGGCGGCACACTGGATGAAGCAAAAAATAACATTTTCTGAATGGCATTACTAATCAGAGTTCACAGATTGTTCTCTGTAATGTTCATTTTCGAGAATAATTGTTCGCACGCATATGTACTTCCAAACATCAATATGAATTTTTTCGTATGGTTTGTCAAATATGGATAAAGATTTCATTCAAAAAGATACTTTTTATAAAAATAAAGCAGTGATACATCACTTAAATAGAATATGGCTTTTATTTTCACTTCATTGCATCTCAAGAAGCTATATTCCATTATTTTTGCGCCATTGAACCCTCTGCACTCAGCATCAACTTTTCTGCGTGTTGCCATTTGTCTAATTATAATTAAATTGTAGGCCCGTTAAACGAGTAGCTAGCTGTTCACTAAATTGTTAGGTTTTAATATAATTTAATCTACACATGTGTCACAGTAAATTTTGTCACCTGAAGAATATAATCAACTCAAAGCCGCTATAAACTGGTCGCATGTTTCAAACCATCATTTTGATTCAAAATATTCAACCGCCTGTCATTTAAAAATACCCGTAACCTAGCCTGCGGTTCCCAAAGGGGCGCCCCGAAAATTAACGAAATTTTGTTTTTGATGTTGCGTCTATTATAAATGTTTTATTGTTTCTTATTTCAAATGCTGTGTATATGAATCAATGAATTCATTTTATCTTTCTATGTCGTATACGTTATGTTACGTAGGGTCTGTCTCTATTGTTACGTAAATGTAACGAATTTTCTAATCTGCTGAACGAATGAGGGTATATATCCTTTCATTGGCTGAACCGAGTTTAGCGGACATGAGTGATTTTTTTATTATTCCAATGGACTTACGTACACAGAGAAGGATGGATGTCAGTACCCGAAATGCCGCAAAGTTCTATCTGTTTAATGCATGTTGCTAAACAATTAATTGACTTTGGGCCAAACGCCTATTTTGAATACTCGCAAATGTGCGAAAGAGCTCTCCGTGTAATTTTGCCATTTGCAACCTCCTATATCTCTGCGAAGCTGGATTTTTTTCGGTCGCAGCAATCGAAACAAAACCGGCCACGTTTGGACATAGAGACAAAAATGCGCGTGCGGATCTCAAGTATAAAACAGCGTTTTGCAACACTTAGATAAATAAGATAATTCATTAGACAAATAAGTGTAAATGTTATGACGTTATGTTGTTTGGTTGACATTGCCTTTATTCTTTATGCCTACATGTTTACTAACTTTTGAAAGCATAAAATACACAATTACGAACACAAAATCGATTTTTATATAATGGAAGAACCTCGCCTTCGTGAGATATCGCGTTCATCTGACAGACAAACAAACAGACACACAGACAGACAGACAAATACCTATCAACATACTTACCGATCTCAAGATCGATAAGTAATAAGAACGGGGGCGCTGAATATCACGACATTCCAAGAACGGTTTAGAGCGAACCTGTAGAATCCGACCACTGCCTATATACCAATAACTTTTAGATATATTCGCATTCCGCCTCATATTATCTGTGGTCCGGATTCTATTGATTTTATCATCACTACTGTCCTATCAATTTGTTATATATACATACTTACGGTACCACGCCGTGTTAAACCGTATATTTTGTTTCATTCTAACCATGTTAATGGCCCCATCCTTTACGCCGAATCGAATACTTCTCCGGCATTGAGCCTATTTCAACTTCGTTGATTTTCTTCTGTCGCATATTTATCACAAAAGGTTGTAATACGCTTGTTAAATAGATTGCAGTCCTTTTAATTCTAGTACATAGACCGTTGTCAGCCAATATTAATCATTAAATCCCTAAATAGTTTATCACCGATATATTATAGAAGCAGAAAAATATATTTGAATTTCTAATGTCCAAAAAAACGGAAATTGAACGATAGTTATGTTGCCTTTACGTTGGCCTAGAACAGGTGTGGGCAAACTACGACCCGCGCCGAAGTGTTTCGTCAGGCCCACATTCCGATTGTTACAATGTGCTATTTAGTATTATATAAACGTTAGCCTAGCTGTTGGACTAGCTCTTGTAAATAAACTGTTTTTATTCATAGTTTTTGATATGAAGTTTTGAGCATCCGGCGCAGTGACCAATTCTATTATCTGTAACTGGCCAACTCAGAAAAGGGTGCTCCCGAAGTATGCGAACCAAGATGGCGGTCATCGGAACGTAACATGGGTAACAGGTTAGGGTTAGACGATAATTTTTTTCCAATTTTCCTTATTTTAGTCCTATCATCAGTTCGAAGACTAGCCAAGAGCCTCCCGTAGTATTTATACCTAAAATTATGGCCTAACCCTAACCTAGTACACATATTACATTCTGATGTCCGCCATCTTGGTTCTCATACTTCGGGAGCCCCCAGAAAAGTATATACCCACCCTGGCAGTGCTGAAAGCCTCAGAAAGGGGTATCATATACGGTTGGCAACCACTGTTCTAAGCGCTTACTTTGAAATATATGTACCCACAACATTAGAGTTCATGTTTCCTCGCCACAAGACAATCAGGGTTTTTATGCTGGGATTTTCATTTTTACATAACCCATAGCAAAGATTCCTATGTGTGTGTTTTCTATGCGGTATTTATTTGATGGGTAGCCTATATACTGTAGCGTTTTTGCAGATTTTTTCATTCCAGGTATTATCTTACAGACAGTGCTGATGATCTGGATTCTAAAATAGCTGTAAGTTAAAGCGCCAACACTTTCATCAAAAAGGCCTGTTCCCGTTTGGTCATTCTCTATAGTAACTGGAGTAACGTTAAGCTTACACACTTGTGGCTTTTTCAAGAACAGATAATTCTCAATGTAGGCCTACTTCTGTCGAGACAAAGATAATGAAGACAAAAATCGAAGCAGAGTTCATCAAAGAATAATTTTTATTGTAATCAAGCATAGACGAACATTTTTATGCAAGAACTTAACATTTGCTGTTTCTATTATTTCATGATTCGTCGCCAACTGAATTCCTATTTTTGCTGAATATGATCTTTTATGTTAGTGCTTGTTGCGCACTATTTTCACAACTTTGTGTTCTGTTAACATAAAAGAAATATTGTGTTAAATTTGAATCAATCAGGCCTTGAGCGACAAATGCTGACAAATTAAAATAATTTTTTTTTATTCAAAGACGTGCCTCATATAAGACATATGTACCCGTTTTAACATCTTGAAATAATTTTTTTCATGAATCAGCAGTTTGACTAGGGAAACCGGCACATGATTTGCTTATAAAATGATTTTTTATTGTATAAGTTTGTCTAGAACTCGAAGGACTCAATAGTTTAATGTTTGTGGGCTATACTGCAAAACTATCACCAACTGTTTTATTATGAACTTACTTATGCATTGGGGTAGTTGTTTCAACCAATGTCCTGACTTATCACAGAGAACAACGTTATAATTAACGTTCAATCGATATCCTGAAGAACAACTAAAAACTGCTTTTTCTCCAGCCTTAAAGGCAATTTTGTTAGGGTGGATACGTCCGTGTGCATAATGCTCCGGAACATGACAATACTCTGAAAATCAAACGTTAAATTAACCATAATTTCTCTCTGTAGGAAAATACTTATATACTAGGCACTTTGTCATGTACTTCAAACACGTGGCTTAGGATCGTGCAATAACATAGACAACATTAGGCCCTGCCTTCACGCCGGATGAAAATATAGGCTACTATGCATAGTTAGTTTTATTTTGAACCGATACTGGAATTATTATAACAACTCACTGTAACATTTGAAGGGTTCCTGGTCCCATAGTCCATCATTTCCACAAGATGCATAACTGTAGTCGATGTGACTTGGTGCATAGTATCCGTCTGTACACGTAAACTCTATTTTTTCACCGTATTTATACAAAGTAACTTCGTATGGTTTGTAGTGATATAATGCGGAGTCGGGTGCAATGCAAGATTCTATAAAAAAGATGTTAGACACATGTTCATTTATTCGGCATTCAAAAAGCTGATAAATCATTTGACGGAATAAATTTAGTTGTCACACAAGGCGCCAATAATCAGCTTTTACGGGTTATTGATTACTTACTTTTGCAAACCGGGTGTTCATACGTCCATATTCCGTTCGTCTGACAGATATTGTGGTCGTACAAATCCTTCTCATAATACAAATAGTAATCTTCAGAACATTCGTAAGTGAGCTTCGTGTTGTAATCATGAAATTTCAACTCTGGTTTTAAAATACCATGCTGTAGTACATATGATGGACAGTATTCTGAAATTGTAAGTTTGTACGGTTTTCAGTATCAATCGTTTAATATTTCCACGATTTGTTGTTCTAAGGGTAGCTGAACTAATTCGCCCGAGATGAGATGAACAAATAAAGAATAAAAAAGCATAGCGGATGTAAATGTTTTTGTATTTTTTTTTTTGTATGTTTCCGAATATGATGCAAAATTACGCCAAAAACTAATAATTGTTTAATAGTTGTTATAAAAGCATTGAAATATTCAGTTCCAAATGTGTGAATGGCATATAATTCGACAAATTTTTCAATCAGAAATATCAACTTACTGTAACAAACAAACGGATCTTGATCCCAGAATCCACTCGCTCCACAAACTGCAGACTCATAGTCAATATTTGACGGAACATAATATCCATTAGCACATATGAATTGAATTTCTTCTCCGATTTTGTACAACATTTTTTTAAAATCCATTTCATAATGGAAATCGGAATACAGCGGTGCTTCGCAGTATTCTGTGAAGTTGATAAAATAAAGTGAGCACATATAGGTTACGATTCCTTTTATGATGAACAATTTTTGCCAAAGTATACACAAAATTAGAGAACTGATATTTGTATAAAGTGAGGCGCGAAGTTCGAAAGTACATATTTAAGTTGAAGAAAATCATGTTGAAATAGCGACATTCATATCAATACTTTGTAATATATGAAATAGGCATTTTATTTGGGAACTATATAATACATGCCACTTGTTAGAAAAACAATGCGAGTATTATTAGCTAAATGAAAATAAGTACGATTGTTCAATGCTTCGTACCGTCAATTTGAAGGGTTAACATTATGAATTCTTTATTCATAAAGGTAGTCGAGTATATTATATTCGAGGTAGGATACAAGTTTCTTATGTGCATCCGCCATTTTGATGCCTTTGTCAGAATAACTCTGTAATTTGTGTGTATCTACTTACTGTAACATACGGGAGGCTGATAATTCCAACTGCCATCCTTTTGACAGACATTGTTTTCGTAAGTTTTACCATTGTAGTGCAAGTAATATTCATGATCGCAAGTGTACGACAATTTTTGGTCGTATTTAAAGGTGGGTTTAACAGGAATGTAGCCGCCATTTTGAATATTATGTGGAGAACAGTATTCTAGATAAATAAATGAACATTTCAATTGGTTCGAAAAATAAAAGCAGCAAAGATAGAAGATGACCATGAAGTTATATTATGTTGATATGTTAGGTACGTGTATATGAACATATTGGAAACGTTATGAAAAAATGCAAGCTAAATTAACTACCGTCCGTTTGTGACCGAGTTTCCAAAGTATATTCTTAAGAGTTCTCGGTTAAAAAAGGCAAATCGATTTTATTGAGCGATTCGTATATTGTCTGAAGAAATGTAATCATAACATTTCTTGATTAAAAATGATATTACAAAGTAATATTTTCAGCAGTAATATTGAAATGCAATAACATTCTTACTGTAACAAGTAAACGGTTCTTGATCCCAGAGGCCATTTTCTAAGCAAGTTGCATGGTCGTATTCTATGTGTTTTGGTGCGTAATATCCAGTTTGGCATTCAAACGAAATTTTTTCTCCAGCTTTGTAAAGTTGTTTGTCAAAAGAATTATAGTAATAAGTACTATGTGAAGGGGCTTCGCAGTATTCTAATAGAAAATACAAATATATTAGAATAAATACAAAAGATACTGACAAAAAGCGATTTAAAACAAGCCCTCGTTTTGAAACAGACTTTAACAGGTAGTAAATACATATTTAATCATGGATATTAAAAATGCCATACTTCTGCAAACAGGCACGTTCTTGTCCCAATGTCCGTTTTTCTGGCAAACTGAATAATGTTCGTCTTTGTGTGGATGGGCATAGTATCCGTTGTTACATTTGTAGACGACTTTATCATTGAATTTATAAGCCTTATATGTTGGCGTGTAGTCTCCGTGAGAAATTGAACGTGGTTTACAATAATCTGAACGAATTTGAATAATAGACTGCATGATATATCAAAAACACCGTGTATACAATATTTTTTTGCCATCATTTTCCAGATAAAAAGAGAAAAAAATTGATCTCATCGTTATTAAACAAAAACGATAAGCGAGATATACGTAGTATGTTTATTGATAATGGTTATCATTACCCATTCAAAACAGAAAAAAAAACTTACCTAGACATATCTTTGACTGAGTCCATTTCCCATTAGTTTCACAGTGGGCGTAAGCATACTTTGTTTTTGATCTTGGACATCCATAGTAAACAATTTCTTCATATTTATACTGAGGTTTTTTCGGAGAGAAGTCACCCGCTATATATTTATCAGGATCTTCACAGTGTTCTAAAAATATGTAAATGGACAAACATTCTAAGTTAGAGGTTAGCAGTTTTTATGTAAATTTGCTAAAAGCACGTTTTCGAGCCTTCACTTCAAATATGTTACTTACATAGCAGTTGGAAGCCTTCACCGTCCCACTGAAAGCTAGATATCTATCAATTGGTACTACCAATACGCTAGTAGTAACTAACTGACATTGAACTCAGAGCAATTCAAGTTGTCATTGTCCATAAAGGTATTTAAGGAAAGAAGTTTTTATCTGGAGGGAATGGACGCGAACGCACGCGATCGAAATCTTTTGTGAATACAGGAATTAAAGCACTGACAAACAGAATTCTTTTTTATTCATCCGACTGAGCAATATCATTTCAATGTACCAACATTACTAAATGATAGTGCTATGAAAATTTCTATGAAATTTTAAAATCACTTACTGTAACAAGAAAACGGCTCTTGATCCCACAATCCCCCTTCTGTACAAGTTGCAGACGTGTATCCTACGTCGGATGGAATGTAGTAGTTGTCGATGCATTTGAAATGAATTTTGCTTCCAACTTTGTAGAGCTTGGCACCGTAGGCCTCGTGGTTATACACAATGTGGTTGGGACTCTCACATGCTTCTGTAAAATAGTAAAATACAAAATGATTTAAAAGCAAGTTACGCGAAGGTAATTGATGTATAAAAAAACTAAAGAGAAAATTTATTTGATTTTTTTGCTTTCTTGTTAAGTTTCTAAATTTTCAGCATTAAATACACTTTTCGTGTTCTGAAAACTTGTACAGAAGGTGAGAAAATAAACAAAATGGGATTTTCAGTTAGTACTTACTTATGCATCGAGGTAATTGAGTCGACCAATGTCCATTCATACATTTTGATTTCGTTTCTCCCTCTAAATAGTAGCCATTATCACACGAGTATGAGATGATCACACCATCCCGGAAATAACCTCGAATTGGTCGCTGTGAAACTTTGTAGAAACCATTTTTTATAAAAGGTTGTTCACAGGCTGAAACGAAATATATAGATTAAAGGAATAATTGTTTATGCATCAATTTACAATATTTCATAAAATCCAATAACGAATTGATTGTCAAAAGTATAATTTACTGCACAAGAAAGGTGTATTATTCAATTTCAAATTTTTACATTTATTACAAAGTAATAAAGTTATTCAGTTGATAGAAATATCCTATAATAAGATGACAAGAACTGAGTAAAATGTATTTCACTGTTTTTCAAAATTACTTGTTGTACTTTGATTGGGATTTTAAACTTCTTTGAAGTGTTAAACTTGGCTTGTCAAGTTCAATCGTCTTCCCTCACAATATCAGTGCGATGCATGTTGGAAAGGAATTATTATGCCGTACAGGACATAGAAAGCCATAACCTAGAATATGCAACGTTACACCACAATTCACAATAAAATGTCATTCAACAAAATATTAATATTCATACTTACGTTTGTTAGCTTCACAAAGTTGAAGAAATAGTAAAATAGGCAAAACAGTTAAAATGGTCAAAAGTGTTTTCATTCTTCCGCGACTCATTCAAATCTTATTCAATAAAATGTAAGTTCTTTACTTTTATTCTGAAGAATAGCAAGAGCCTTAAAACAGTATTAAATCCTAGAAGTTTCAATTTCCAGAATATATGATCTTGAAGTCTGGAGATTTCCAATTTATACCAAGAGTTGTTTTATTTTCATGATCGAACGTCATAATCGTGATATGATCTTCACCTGAATGAAAGTTTGGCGTTGAGAAAAACATATTAAGAAGTTCAATTTAAATTTTACGTAGTCATTTTTATGTTCATGTTATTAGAAATTAATTTACAATGTCATGTGATGAAAAAAAGAATTGCAGTACACGAATTATTCTAATTGTCAAAAACCCATGTATGTCCCGTTAAACTTGCAAAGTTTATGTCGCCTCATGTTCTAAATTTTTGACTTTCTCAGATACATTAAATGTATTTTACGAGTGGGGGATCTTACGATTTGATTAAAACTGTATTTGGTGAATTTATACGCTTATTACAAAAAAAAAACATGATTAATATTATCTAATAAAATAAAAGAGAAATTATATTTGGGCAGTAATGTTGAAAATGTTTTTGTGAAATATTCTTTGTCATTTGCACAAAAATAAATTTTGTACAGCTAATCTTTGTTTGAAAAATAAAAATTTATAGTCATGATGTCATATGGATTATGTGATCACGATTAACCTTGCTACGACAAGAAACGTGAACGTACAAAAAGTGACTCGACAAAATGAGCTTGTTTTTTCTGACCTATTTTTGACAATGGCTTGAGGCAATAATTAGACATTTCTTTCGTTCTAATTATGAAATTAACAATGTAAAGAGAAAGTGAAGCTGCGTCAACCTGAGAATGTTTCAAAAAATCGCTCATAGTTCATTATAGTAATAATCAATCATCTCAAAGAAATTAAATAAGCTTATCGAACAAAAATCATGAATATTCAATATAAACTATATTTACATACAAAACTTGTACAGAGTGAGTACAAAACCCGGTACCTTTTTTTAACTCCGTTCCCACAATGTAGAATACCTGACGCACTCACCAAAGAACTATGAACAAAAATGTTTTTTCAATATCCATTATGATAAAACAAGCATCGAGTGCATGTAAGGTATAAATCAGTTCAAATCGCGACAAAAGATAATCAACATTGTATTTCATTATACAGTAACAATTTAGCATGACATGCCTTTAATTCGAATTACAAATTATAAGAAGCAAATAAAAACAACGGCTGTTTTGAGAAGCAATTTAAAAGGATTTTAGTATAGTATGATTGTAAATAAACATAACATCGTATTCAAATTTTGATTGCTCATTTTATATTCATTACATGAACTTTGATTAATTAAACAAATTCTAATTCTACATCATATTAAACTTAGTGGGTCGGTCCTCGACAGCAACGCGCGTTGCTCGAATAAGAAGAATGATAAATATTAAATTTTTTACAGGGTAATGTTGAGGTTATCTTTACGGTAATTCAAGAACTGGATTTATATGTAAGTTGCAGAACGATTACGGTTAATAGAACATTTGCCATGTTTATGCAATATTTGTTTAATAAAAATCACAAGTTTTCCGTCAAGTTATGTAAACCGATTATTGCCAATGAGATATAGTTTAGCTAGATGAACAGAAGCATTGGCGATAATAATAATATGCGGTCGCAATTGCGTTAGAATCGCCTCGTGGCTTTGCTGGGACGCGCCACATTGGAAGAGAAGTTTACAATTGCCACAAACAATTCTGAGTAGCATTGTATTAGATTTTCGATCACTAAAATACATACTATTTACAGTAACCTTTATTTGATACAATAATATGCGGGGAAATAACAAGCATGGCATTCTTAGAATATCTGAACTGAAAATCGAATATGGAGAATAACGTTCCCAGATAAATTCTTCTTAATTATAAATATATAAATCACGATATTCTTTATAGAGGCGTTAAAAACGTGGCAACCACCTAGTGACTTTGCAAAAATATTGTATAAAATAAATGAATTCACCTGCCCGCGGGCACCGGAATGTGGCGGCAAGCTACCGAATAAAAACAACCCACTATTTTTCAATCACGAATTAGTACGTAGTGATGCACGTATTTAAACATAATTACATGGCATTTCATGTTAGCTTTGTGAATAGTGGCATCGGCCATTTTGTTTTGCTTTTCATGTTTTATCACATCTTGAGACAAAATGATTAGTTCAACTATCTACAATAAACTAAAATCCTAATTCTAAAGGAATAAATAATCAAACATAGGCACTAAAAATGAGACGTTCATGCAATGTTACGGATTGATAATAACTAACCCATACTACACTTCCTATAAATACATACTTCACAATGGATAAAGAATAAACTTGTTTTAACTGTAGTTGTTTTAAACGTTTCAAACAAGATTGCGGTGAATTTAATAATATGTAACAATGGAATTACAGTAAAGGCGCAATAGAACTAATTTAAAGGATAATCTAAGGTAATTAATCTTTTCCCCAAAGACGAGTTGTTCAACAATAAATTAATGGTGTACAAATCCATATTTATATAACGAAAATCTTATGACAGTAATATGCGAATATGATAGGAATTGACGATAAAGTTACACAATTGTTCGCATTTTTAATATTATTATCGAATTTAAAGCAACACCGACGTCCACGACCTAATTTAAAGAATAACGTTGACAAATTGCTTCCCAGAGGAAAATAATGACAAAGCCATATCAATTATGCTCCGAATTATTAGACTTATTTATTATAAATCCAGCCAGCATTAAAATATTATTTGGTGTCGTAAAAAGACTATATTAATTAATAAATTGCTCAAAGTAGAAATTTAGTATTATAAGCATACTCATTTCAAAATGCCCCACTAAGCAATATATAGCTACATCAAAACATGAAAAATGCATCGGGTAAACCCTATCTCGTTTCATGCCTTTTGCATTAAAATATATAATATACTGAGAGTTTTGAAAATGTAAATTTGTGATGTTTTAACATTACAAGTAAAGAAGCTAAAAACTTCTAGCGCTTGCTTGTTAATGTAAGCTCTCGCCGATCTCAATGCTCGTATATTGAAGGGACATAATGTTAGTATTTTTGAGGTTTTCGGTTCAGTCTTATGCTTCGTATTTCATTACTTCAACTTTCTTAAAAATTTTGGAAGGCAGTTGTTAGACGGGCAAATACTGCAGTCTGTTGTTTTGCACTATTGGTTGGTGAACACTGAACAAGCATGGTTTTCGTGAAACATATGATAATAAATTTGTTTAAATTGAATTAAATTTGTTTTAAGGACTGTATCACGACATTATACTTGATTTCAAAAACAGGAAAAATGTCTCAATGACTTTGCACAATTATTTATTATATTAACCTCCCCTTAGGCACCGGTATGTAGTAGCAGACAAACAGATAAAATAACTTCGATTATTTTCTATCACGACTTGCTAAAAAATATAGCACGTATTTGTAGATAATCATATGAACTCATTCATTAGGATTATGGTTGTTGAAATCGGCCATTTTGTTTCGTGCTAACTATTCCACGAATGTTGTTTGTGCTACTGTGGAAATTCAAACTATGGTATATTTTTGCATTGTGACATTCACATGCATTTTTTTTCAATCATAATATTCGAAAATAGTTTTTGTTTTGTATCATATAAAACATTGGTTCCCCAACGGTGTGGCGTGGACAATTTTTTGAGGGGGTGTGAAGCTGAATCAAAATAAATCTGTATTTGTTAGATTTGATATTACCCGCCTTATTTTGCATATTTACATTTTAATTTTTTCTTTTATTTCAATATTTACGTTTCATCCATGTATTTTCATTGTGTTTTTGAATAAAACATTCTTACTCGCCATACTATCTGTTATTACTAGATTATTGTTAGCTAGTTTGCTTTTAGGTGACGCGCGAGACTTGACAAATTCTAAAAGGTGGGGTTTAAAAATTGTGAGCACCACTGACATAAAAAGCCTAACTATTTCCCAAAAACATATTTAATATACGAAATGCAATTTATTTCAAAACACGCACAATGCTTTTCAGTCTCCTAAAATTTCAATATCACCTTATAGTTATGAAAAGCAATTTAAATTGGGTGATATGTAATTTCAATGACTGATGCGAAGATCGGGCTGAAGATGGTAAAAATTCCAACAAGTGCGATGATTCAGACTTTTGCAGCTTTAACGTTCACTTGTAGAATCATACACTTTCATTGCTTCTGTGGAGCCAGTTACTGAACACTTATACATTTACTACCATCTTTGTTGATGTTTTTTTTTTCATAAAAAAAGACAACATTTTACGACTTCAAATTAACATATTAATTTAAATAGTTTCTCTCCTTTACTACGCGTTTACTCAAATATTTTTATTAACCAAACAAAAAAAAAATTCGAATATATTTTATAATACAAATTATAAAAATCACAGTGTCACGATGACTATTGTGCAATTGTTGTTTCTTCCTTATTACTTAAAATAAAAAGAACAAATACCAAATCGGATTATGTACAAATAACATTTATTATATGTTTAAACATGAATTGCTGAACAACGTGAATGACATCAGAACGTATCATCGCGCCACGTTTAAAAGAAACAAAATTACGCTTAAAAAGAAAAAATAAATAATCGTCACTTGTTGTTCAGTATTATTGCTGTCACGATTAACGTGCCTCGAATAAATCACGTGATCAGTGAAAAACATATAAAAGTCGGAACGGTCTGAATCAAAATCACATCGTCTTGATTCATCAAGAAGATTAAACAAGGCAATTACAAATTATTGTTCGACCCTCTCCAAAACGAAACTGCTTGCATTTGAGGAAGCTCAGGAGGAAGAAGAAAATGCGAAGATCTAATTCATTGCTGCTATTGTCAGTGGCAATGACTTGTCTACTGCAAGTCATTCGTGCTGATAGTAAGATATTTTATTTTAAATTATTTATAATTCAATGTGATATACATTCTTTAGTGTATTTGTGTTCTGACTGATTTACGGTTTGGGTTGAAAAACATCATGAATATAAGTTTAGTTTCAAACTGAACTGAACAATTGAAATTAACTGGTATAAGCATATCGGGCAGTCTAACACACTTTTCAAACTATCATAGTACATTGATTTAATACTTTTATTTGTAATTTTCAGGCTGTTATCCGCCGAAAATTGAGCACGGTTACGCCACATCATCCGAGTTTCCAATATATGGTCGATACAGAATTGGAAGTGTCGTCTATTTCCAATGCAAAAGTGGTTACGAAATGAAAGGAGACAGAACTATCAGATGCAGATATGGAAATTCATGGGACGGACAAATTCCAATATGTTACGCTAAAATATCTGAAAGTATGTTAGCATTTTGATCTTTAGAACGCCAATTATTAAAGTAACTTAATATACCCTCCGCCGCAACAAAATGTTTCTAAAAATCATTTATTTATTTTTAAGAATATTGCCAAAGTCCAAGTAGATTTTTCGGCGGTGAATATCATCCGGTTAAGCCTCAGTACCATTACAACGACAAGGTCTATTACCGATGTCCTGGGTATTCCTCAAAGTACATCTACTCAACATGTAGTATGGAGGGTAAATGGAAACAAGCTTCCAAATGCTACGGTAAGTTGCCAAATTGTATATAACTAATAGCAAAATAGTTACGGGTGACCGTAAAACATTTAATAATAAACCAAGTTGTTTTGTTGATTTTTATGTGTTATTTTTTTTACATTGGAAACATTTTCTTAGATGTATTAGTTGACATTTTGTTACCATTATAACTTATTAAAATATATCGTATAAACTCAACATTCTACCGCAGATTATTGCAAGAAACCACAAATGAACTACGGATACTACGAACCAATGAAACAGTACTATTATCATGGCGATAGTATTAAATATTCTTGCAATGATAAATATTATAAATATTATGAAGGAGAAAAATATGAAATGTCAACTTGTGGTGAAGATGGCTATTGGGATAAAAAGAAACCAATGTGTAAAAGTATGTTATTTTTCAAACTTCTCGAAATCTCGTGAATCTGGCACTTTTATAATTTTATTATGTTTTAAATATCCTGTTTGTATTCGTAGAATATTGTGAAGTTCCCGAATATAAAATGTATCATCATCAACCGTACGGACGATCACGTTATGAACATGGCGAGAAGATGCAATATTACTGCGAAGAAGATTATTACAAACCTTCTAAATATGATTATCATGAATCAGAATGCATGTCCGATGGAAAATGGAATCGATCTCCATACAAATGTGAAAGTAAGATTAAGAATAATAAATTTCGAACGATTGTATAAATTTGCGAAAACATCTATATGAAATGCTAGATCAACATGTATTTAGATATTCAGTGATATCCACGTTACACCTATGAATTTGATGCAATCATTTATACATGAAGGGAATCTTTCTTTGCTATTAACGATATCCTATTTATATGACAGGGCGATGCACAGCTCCAGATTACGACGACTATTACCATATGCCATATTCTAAAGAAGTTTATGGGTATGGAGACAAAATGATGTATTCATGCAAAGACGGATACTACAAACCTTCCGATTATGATTATTCATATGCGATGTGTAAATCCGATGGAAATTGGGACAAGAAGCCTTACAAATGCATGAGTAAGTTCACTGATAATAACTCGTAAGAATTAGGAGGATTTGGAAAATAAAACGAATTCGGTATCAGTTAATCAAGAAAAAGTTTGAATATATGTAATTTGTATATTGAAAATGATTTGTATTCGTAATAATATGAAAAGTACCTGACAAATGTATCAACTCTTCTAGAATACTGCAGAGCACATAAAATGCAATACGGTAAATATCAGCCAATGAAAGATATGTACAAATATGGAGATAAAATGTATTACGAATGTGATTCCGGATACGACATTTATTACAAAGAAGAAAAATATGAATATAATACTTGTAATAAACATGGAATGTGGGATCGCATGACTCCGATGTGTAAAAGTGAGTAGTTCGAATTTTGTAAAATACCAACATACTAAGTATGTTTAAAATGTAACAAACTAACTGGTGTTTTCAGAATATTGCAAGTCACCACAAATAAGCTATGGATCATACAGTCCTAAGTCCAAATCCGGAAAATACAACGTTGGTGACCGTATGTACTACAGTTGTAAGGACGGGTATAAACTGTTTTATGGAGAAGAATGGTACGAGTACAATACATGCCAAAAGGGAGGGAAATGGCTTTACAAAGAACCATCATGCAGAAGTGCTGAAAGTACGATTTATTTTTTGAACTACTAACAAATATGAATTATGAATTACATCTCATTCAAGATTGGAAAACCATTTAAAGAATTTGAGCGAAATATTTATGATATACTAAGTCAGTATTTAATTGACACAGAACACTGCGAAATTTATTGGAGGCTTGGGCTTTATAATTTATTTAATGATAAATATTTGACAGTTACAATGTTGTAGAGAAATTCAAGACGTTTTAAACTAATCTATTCTGTTTTAATCTACTCTTTGACGTGTTTCTTCAAATAGGGAATAACGATTATCAAATTTTGTAAACTAAAATCAGATCTTTTTTGCCTCGTTTTATAAGACAGATATACAAGTATATAATATTATTATTTCACATTGATATCAACTTCCATTTTTATCATTTAGAATATTGTGATTTACCTCATATGCCACATGGAAGTTATTCTCCACAGAAGAGCAGATATTCATACAATGATAAAGTATATTACCAATGTAAAGATGGATACAAGCTTCACTATGATTCAGACTGGTTTGAATACAGCACTTGCATGAAAAATGGAAAATGGGATTTTAGAGCTCCAAGTTGTATGGACAAGAAAATGTGTAAGTAGCATTTCATCGACTATGCAAAGTGATAGAGTTGAAGAATATTGCCCTGGGAAGTAGAAGCACATACGAGTTACTAATAAGAAATGATCAGTCTATATTATATTTGGACACGTACTGGACATAACGATCGTTTCAATATTATGTTGTTCTTGTTGTTCTTCTTTGTATCGTTTTGAAGAAATCACTTTTCTCTTTGATTACTGGACCAATTGCTTTAAAATTTTTAGTGGTTAAAGATGGAATTTTCTCCAGAAGGCTATTGCTTTCATTTTTTGCTATGGCGTCATTAAAAATATGTGGCGCTACGTGTTCACATATTTGAGCATAGCTCTCTTGTTTCTTTATAGAGTAAAAAATTGAGATAAAAGTCCGAAATTATTGATCCACAGTTTCTAATTAACATATTTCTAACATTTACAATATTAAAATTTTTACACGTTTTTTTTTTCAAAGTTTTCAGCACGCAATTAATTATAAAAAAGGATTGTTAATTATTCCCCTAGGGCCTAGATTGATTTGTATTTAAAATAAGTATATATTATGTTGATATTTGTAGACTACTGCAAGCAGCCGTACATCAACCATGGATCTTATTCACCTATGAAGAAAATGTATAGCAAAGGAGATCGCATTTACTACAGTTGCAAAGATGGATACAAGAAATATTACGATGAAGACTGGTTTGAATACAGCACATGCAATGAAGATGGAAACTGGGATTACAACCCACCTAAATGCAAGGCAGTACATGAGAGTAAGAATTTTTTTAATACAATTAATATAAGATTTGGTGGTCAATGCAAAATCGGCAATATTTCCGTTTATCCAAACAATAAACTAAAGCAAAAAAACTATTTTCCAATCAAATGTTTCATGTTACAAAATTTATTTTAAGAATATTGTTATCACGAGGAATACATGCATGGAGATTATCATCCAAAGATGAAGAGATACAGTGTTGGAGATCGTATTTATTACGACTGTCACAAAGGATACAGAATGAAATATGACGAAGACTGGTATGAATATAGAACTTGTGGAAAAGATGGACGTTGGGATTACAAATCACCAAGATGTATGAAAGTACACAGTTACACACGTAAGTAAATGATCTTCATGAGTAAAATGTTATATTACACACGCCACAGGAAAATCATTGGAAATTTAGATTTAAGCCTCGTGAAAAATGGGAATATGCCAGATTATTGGGCAATGATTATATCGCAGGATGATTCAAACACAGTGGCCCAGAAGAGTGGGCGTTGGCAAAGGGGCGTGAAGTTAATTAAAAATAAAATTATTTGTTAGAGTTGATTGTACCTTCCTCGTTTTCGATATTAACATTTATTTATTTTGGATATTTACGTTCCATCCACGTATTTCCAATATGTTTTTTTAATTAAACATACTTTCGCCTAACTATCTGTCATTTGTAGCTTTAGTTGGCTAGTTCTTTTTGAGGTGGGGCGCGAGACTAGAAATATTCTAAAAGAGGGAGCGGATAAAAAAGTTTGAGAACCACTGTAATCTAATAGATTATAATTTCGTCATTCTTCATACAGATAAAATCTCGCCGATTGGAAATATATTTTTCTCGTCGGGATAAAATACAAAAATATATTAGTTCCAAATAAATACCCCAAAATCTTTTTCGGAATTGTTATCTAATTAAAAAAAATATTGACATGTTACACTATAAAAACCATTTCTAACGTATCGCTTATTTAGGATACTGCCACGCGCCATATTTCATGCATGGAAATCTGCGTCCAATGAAGAATGCTTACAGTCACGGAGAGAAAGTATACTACTCTTGTAAAGATGGATACATGACATATTACAAAAACAAAGAATACAAATACAGCACTTGTAATTATGATGGAACTTGGGACAATCCGGCACCAATGTGCAAATCTATGTATAAAGGTAAGGCTATATATTTATTATATAATTGAAATTGAACTGTACTACTTGATTTGTTTTTCATTCTCGTATTTATGTTATCATATTTTGTGTTTAGACTACTGTTACGCTCCCCAAATGAAACATGGATCTTATTATCCCACAATGAAAATGTACAACTCTGGAGACAGGTTGAGATATAAATGTGATTATGGATACAACATATATTATGAAAACGAGAGATATGAATATACCACTTGTATGCGAGATGGAAATTGGGACAGAAAACACCCAATGTGTAAAAGCAACAAAATGTGTAAGATATCCATCTAATTTATGAAAATAATTAGAATGAAATCAATTTAAAAAACGTTTAAATTATAATAATAAATAATCTAAAACATAGATCACTAATTTTATTAGCAGAGATGATTTTTTACTCAATATTTTATTTATTCAAATTTCAGTCATAACATTTTCTACGAGATGAAAAGCTTTACATGTTCTTTCTAAAATTTTTCAGATTATTGCGACAAACCAATGATACAATACGGTATGTATAAACCAATGAAAAGAATGTACAATCCCGGTGATAGAATGTATTATTCATGTAAACAAGGATATCAACTCAAATATGGAAAAGATTGGTTTGAATACAACACATGTAACGATGATGGAAAATGGAGATACAAAGCACCAGATTGCATGAAGACACAAAAAAGTAAGACTTATTAGTTATAGGTTGATTAAGCATAAATTGATATTGATTATCCATAAAGATCTCAGAGTGTAGAGATATTTAAAATTATGGAACATTTGAACATTTTTTTTTTAAGAACTTTAACAAATTGATAACGTGATTATTTCAGTCAAATGCAGAATCCAATAAAAAAAGCTGTAACCTGTAATAGAAAAAACATTTTTATTCAGCGTTTAGATTGTTTTCATTAACTTCAAGTAATATCAATATTCTTTTCACAGAATCTTGTGACTCTCCTAAGATCAAACATGGTGAATACAATCCCATCAAACATTATTATTCATACGGAGATAAAGTTTATTACAAATGTCACAGAGGGTACAAACTATATTATGACAATGATTGGTTTGAATACAGCACTTGTAAGGAAGGGGGATATTGGTATCCAAAAGAACCAATGTGTAAAGAAGAAAAGATGAGTGAGTATTGAAAATATGACTTGTTGATCATAAATCGATCAAAATCGAACTATAAGATACCATCCGTCTGGCGTTGACAATAACGCATTTCTGAATTCGATTAGTTTTGGGTAGCTAAATTAAAAGTGAAGATTTCAATATTAGAAAAATGTATTCTAATAAATATACCTAATAAATAATAACAACAAGGTCAAAACACTAACTATTTAGCCAAAATTAAACAATATAAATTTTCGACTTCAGAATATTGCTACCCACCCGATTATCACCACGGATCGTATTATCCAAAAATGCGAATGTATAGTCACGGTGAAAGAATGTATTACAAATGTGACTACGGATATAAAATGTATTATCATGACGAAGAATACGAATATAACACTTGTATGGATGGAAAATGGAAGAAAAAAGCACCAAAGTGCATGGACATGAGAAAAAGTACGTCCAACAACTTGTTATCAATCTTTTAAGGCAAATAATGAGAAAGTTGTTGAAGATCGGGAATTTACTGTACATACCGGCATATTTGTTTGTATTTTACTCATTTTTAAACACGTGTCAAAATCTTCTTCATGATAATATACATTATCTTCTGGTTTTCAACAGAATATTGCCAGATGCCATATATCATGCATGGTTCATACCAACCAATGAGAAAAATGTTCAGTTATGGAGACAGAGTCTGGTATTCATGCAAAAGTGGTTACTACATGCAATATGATGGAGATAGATATGAATATAGTTCATGCATGTCGAATGGAAATTGGGATAAAAAAGCTCCAAAATGCATGAAACGCGATATGAGTAAGTTTTCAACATAAATTGATTTTGGTATAAATTATCGATTAGACTCATTTTAATAATTTATTTCCTTTACTACAGAATACTGCATGGCTCCTTATATGAAACACGGTGAATATTATCCCATGAAATCACGATACAACGTTGGTGACAAGTTGTATTACAACTGCAAGTCTGGTTATGGTATGAGATATCATGGAAGTAATTATCAATATTCCACCTGCAAATCTGATGGAAATTGGGATAACAAACATCCGATGTGTATGGATATGAAGAAAAGTATGTTGTTTTACGATTCAAAATCTTCAGATTGAAAATTCAAAACATCATTATCATAAATGATAATGCCAATTTTATAATTTAAAATATGTCACTGAAGTTGAGTGTTTGTTCGTTCTAACATTTAATTTTCAAACACATTATTTTTGGAGATTTGGAAAAATTATCAAAAAATATTCTTTATATCAACTTTTTTTCTACATTTGTAGAATACTGTTCTGCTCCGAAGGTTGATCATGCTGACTATTCTCCAATGAAAGCTTATTACAAGTACGCTGATCGGGTCTATATATCTTGTCACTATGGATATTACAGATCATATTCAGGTTATCAAATGGAATATAGCTCATGTAAAGAAAATGGAAAATGGGATGTTATTCCAACCTGCAAAACTATGGCAAAAAGTAAGTCCAGTAATATATTACCTCAGTTGATGCAAATTAATAAAGCAAGCAATGTTCTTTGCTGTACTTTCAGTTTTTTAAAAATAGCGTATTTTAGTCATACGTGTTGCTAATACTTTAAAAAAAAAAATTTAAAACACTTTTTTGTTTTATTTACTTATTAAACTAATAAACAACATCACGATTGTTGAAGTTTGATAAAACTCATATATCTTCCATGTATTCAGAATATTGCAAAGCACCCGAACGTTCACACTATCATCATAAATCATATGCAAAGAAACAATATATGGAAGGAGAATGGATCAAATATGAATGTGATCACGGATATTATCGACCTTCTAATATGAAATACAATTATGCCATATGTAAGAAAGATGGAACATGGACTGCTTCACCTTACAAGTGCAATAGTAAGTATTACTCAACAAAATATTAATCATTAGTCTTTATGTATATCTTATGGGTTTTCAAATATTAAATTGTTGAATTCTAGGATATTGTATGTCGAATGATATGCGGTACGGATCTTATGAGCCCATGAAGAAATACTACGAACATGGAGAAAGAGTTTCATATAAATGTTATACTGGATATTACATGAAATATCAGAAGCAAAGATATCAGTACAGAACATGTCAGAATGACGGAGAGTGGGATTATTCTGCCCCGATGTGCATGAGTGGGTAAACTTTACTCAGTCTATGTTTGAAGAAGCTAAATTATTTTTGATACTCTATTCACTTCATGGTGTATTTTCTTGTTTATAATTTATAACGGAGGCCGTACTTTAGATATTTAAGTTTAAATACCCGAATAAATGTCTGCAGTTGTCTTACGTACCTCGTTGTTTAATAAAAATATTTCTTTAAATCATTTGTTTTCAAACGATTAAATAAATAGTAACTTCGAATACCTTTTCACGTTTGTTTTTTATTTCAGATAACCGTTACTAGATACGTTAAAGACACTCAAGATTGGAGATAACACAACTTTACAATGCTTTGTAATTAATTTGATGACATTATTGCAATGTATAGCATAACGTGATAATGTTAATTGTAAGCAATAAACAAATTTTCAGCATCTCATTGTTTGATTTTGACAATATATATGTGTCAGATTTTAATGTTTGAAAACTTAGCAATATTTCGGGAAACAAATATTGTCCAAATCAGGCGAATTCATCCGCCCTTGAGAAACGGAATATGCGGCAGGCTAACAGAGTTAAATAACTTTCAATCGAAATAATATGAATTGAAGCACATGTTTGAGCAAAATTACATAACATTCCATGACAGCGGCAACGTTATATTGGGAATTTTGTTTTGCATCAACTTCCACAGGGAATCATTTTCTGAGTCACTTGAAGCCATTATCGAATTTAATATATATATAGACACACTTTGCAATGCGTTGGCAGGACACTTTTAGTTGATGCTGCGCTTGTACTTAACAATGACACAACACGAAATGCAACACAATTTCAAAACATGTAATAATTGAAATTGCAACTTGAACATTCTTGAATATTTTGAAAGAATAATTCAACTCTAGTCAATTTGTCCTTTTTATGAGGAGCAATTTACGCTAAACATAAAACAATGGTGCAACGATACACAGACATATCTTGATATAACAAAAAACCTATGAGAATAAATGCGAATCTGATGCATCGCGAAGGTAGGACATCAGTAGGGCTACCTGCTCGTTAGGATAAAAAGTTTTCTTTTTCAATTATGATAGATCAGCTTTTTGGTGGAATATCGTGCACCATATGATTCAGAGGCAAGATTAAAAAAATTAAAATCAGATCTTTGAGTATAGAAAATGTGAAATTGATCGGTTCTTCTGTAGTATAGAAAAGCTATTTCTACCTAACAACAACAAGACTGACAGCAACATCAAGAATTCAACAAAACGATCTATAGGTAAACTTCGTGTCTAATAATACCAGAGCAATCTCAATAAAAACCTAATTGTTTGCTATAATATAAATAGCAATGTAATTTCGCTCGGAGTTCGAAGGAAAAAAACATATTGTTGACTGAACCGGACAATACAAGTTTGAACTAAACTGAATTATTTACACTGAATGCGAGTCAGATCAACCTATGACGATGTCTTCTCAATCACGCGCACACAAGCAAGCTATAATCTAATCTTTTGACGGTGGTTTGGGATTCATGTTACTCAGTAGTTGGATATATATGCTGCAATTAATACATTACAGAAAGTAAAAATTTGAACAAAAGTCTGCTTAGAGTCTCCACGAATACATGGAAATTCATGTTCTTTTATACGCGAATCGCGAAGGATGGAATCTCAATTTGCAAAATAAACTCAAGTTTCTTCCTCATTCCCGCAGTATTCGTTTGAATGAATTGAATAATAATCGTTTTCCTCGAGATAACAATATCATTTTAATTAAATACCGACGTTATTCTAGTTCGAAAGACTTTTGATGGCCATTTATGTCAATACCTTAGTCTCGTGGTTTCGGACAACCAACGAACTTTTATTTTCTCAAAATACATGAAGTGTTCATAGGGGTCGATAAACTGTTGTTGTTGTTTGGTTGATGCACGCAATTCAATTGGCCTACCGACTTCAAACTTTCAGTACTTATAGAAGGAAGAAGTCGACAAAATAGTATTAATTTTTTTCACATACGATATTTCACACTAACACTTGCGGTTTCATTTTGAGATCTTGGGAACACTTTTTATTTCGTTAAGTTCGACCGTCTTCGTCAAGCTAGTCAGATGTTTCTGTAAGCGATCTCGTTGCTCTTTATTACTAGTTATTGTTACCGTGGTGCATGCGACAGTCTTTTTTAACAGTCTTATTTGTCAAATTCAGATTCCAAGATTGTCACGATCACGATATTCAGATATATGAAACAAACACACCATTTGTTTGTGACACGAGATCGCTCGGGAATACGGCGTTAAAATGGGTTTATTTTATCCGCTCTTTGATGACGACATGTGACTTTCGTTCCCATATATTTGAGCATTGCTCTTTTGTTACTATATCACCCTTATTCTTATCTCACACAGAAGCATGGTCGTATGCATTGTCCCATTTTCGCGGTTTCGCGTGTTATTTGTCAGTTTCCAGTTGTGTTTCCAAAAATTAGTTGTGAATGAAGTATTTTAATTGTCATTATGTCTTGCGAAAAGTTTTGTTTTTTACTGTTTTGTTACACTTTTGATCAAAGCAAAATGAATATGTATATGAAATCAACAAGCGGAGCAGGCAAGCGTAGTTGGTACCGGTATAAGAAAAAGTCAAAGGCAGAAACGGGGGATTGTATAAGGGATATATATATATATATTCAACAAATCATTGGATCACAAGAAATATGAATTCAACAGAAAAAAATCACTTTTAAGGAAAAATTTTGCACGATGAAGTTACTAGAGAGGTCAAGATTTCTACGACTATTAAAATCTGAAAAGTTCATTTCTGTAAACCTTGAGAAGTGCGTCGATGTTTACATTATTGTGTAGACGTTATATATAGTCAATTTTATGGTAATCAATCACTCGATAGTTTGTTTTTTATATTTTTAAGCACGAAAAGCCGGCATAGGTTGCACATTTTCATCTAAAAATAATTTGTTCGATTGTCATTTTACATGCCGTCTCACTCATCACACGCATAGCCGCTATTCAGTTCACTATTTTGTTTGTAAGTAATTGCACGTAATTCGATTATGAAATTAGACGCCTGAATAACGACCAAACTGTTTATTCGTGTGTTTGTTGTGATTTGTATTCATCTTTTTTCGGTGAGTGAACGCGTTTATTACGTTATAAACTTATTTTTAGGTTTTGTTCACTTTCCAGATTCTTCGCCTTTCTTTTTTTTTTGTGTATTGTTTCATTTTTTGCGAATGAATCAAAATAAAATTTACCATCTCTTTATCTTTAGTTTAGGTGCAATAAATAAAAATTAGTTCCGGAAAACTGCGATTGATTAGGCTAAAATGAGCTTTCAGTACCTGTAATCGGCACGTGGTTGTATATTTTAATAAAAATATGGGTTTTGACCATGTACATCGGAAACGTAAATTAGCCTGTCTGGTAAGCCTATCCACTGAGGTGTATAAACATACACCTCAATGAGCCTATCCTACACCTATCAAAATTGAGACTTCAGCTCAACTCGGTTCCGCTTAATTCACTTTTTCCAACTTCCCTATTTCAACATTCTGGCTGTCTACAACCATATTTAACTATGGTTCCAAGAAAGGCAATTTTCTTCCCTGTGAACAGGGAAGGATACAGGATATTTCAATTCAAAATTTTTGACTCCTTGCACCAGCATAAACTTTCGTACTTCGTAGTAGTTAACCATGGTTTCGCAACGTCAACTCATGAGCGAAATCCGAAATGTAGAGATCGAATAAATGGATGGGAAGTGGTAGATGAACTTTCAATGATTCCAAGTCCTAATTGATTACAGTTTAGAATTCAAAATTCATCAGTAAAGAGGTTTGCATTATACTTGATAGCTGAATTGCGATTAGTGGATGAATAGCCAAAATGCCATAACGATTCTGATGTACACCAAGCGTTTTAAACTTGTTTAAAATGTGTGGATTTTTGGGAAAATTCAACGTGATGATGTGTCAATAGTTTGGTTTTATTAATAGTTCTGGTTTGCGTTTTTAAAGTTAATAAAGTAACAATATGTATATAGTACACTAAGTACAGTAGCATAATCTGGCAATTCTCATACACCATAGCTACCTATCTACAGAAAAAATGACTAAGCTCATGGAATGGATTGTATGTGTTGGCACTATTATGATGGTCTGGGCTATTTTCAGCTTCAGACTTATTGATGGAATACCGAAAAGATATCAAGAAGCAGCATTGCCAGTTCCATTGTACTTGATTGTTGGCTTTGCCATATACTCGTTATGCGTCATAATCTACAGAGTTGCAACATTTAATGACTGTCCAAACGCAGCTGCCGAGTTGAAAATTCAAATTGTTGAAGCCAGGAAAGACTTGGAAACGAAGGGATTTAAATTTGGATCGAAAAAAGATAGTTAACCCAAATGAATGTTAGATAAACATATTTTTGAACTTATGCACCACATTATTTTGCAAAATCAAGTTTCTGTGCTGCAATACTGTAAAACTTCTGTTTCATGGATGACAGAGAAACAATTTAAACTACTTGTGATCATTTTTCATATTGTCAATATTTCCATGATTTACTATTTTTAATACTCAGTACTACCTTCTGGAATAATTAGCTTCAGTCGTAACTCTTCCATTCTATGAGACTGTCAGGAAATTAAATGTTTAAAAACGCTTTACTTTACATTCACACCCAATGCTTATTCCATTTTTTATTGAAAGAAAGTTACTTACTGTTTCCACATTTTCTATGATAACCTGATATTGTTTTGCATGCCTGGTTACAAAAAATTCATCAGATGCTGGCAACTAATTCTATCATATGCTTACATAGGTATTTTTTCCAAAGTGCTGATGACTACTTCATTTATATAAGCATTGTAAATAAAACAGAATTTTTACAAGCGAATTAATGTACTCCTGAAGTATGTGAACCAAGATGGCAGACACTGAAACGTAGTATATGTACCCGGTTAGGGGCTCAGGCCATAATTTCAAGTAACCGAACCGTGTTGTGTAAAGGGACTGAATTTTCCTATGGGCAGGGGGTATATTCACTTGGCTGACACAGGCAGTCACTGAACTTGTAATAGAACTAAAATAATGAAAATTGGAATAGAATTACGGCCTAACCTGGTACACATACTACGAGAGTACCTGAATTAACTTAACAGTCACGAATACAATGAAAGATTTTTGCTTATTTATAATAGTTCATGTGGAAATAATGTTTATGTATTGCTAATATAAATGCATGAACAAATCAAACAAGAGCTTTTGCAATAACTACATCAACAGCTGCAGGACAGGTCAGACGTGTGTTTTAGCATGAATACAAAGATGGACGGTGCCTATTCAGGCAAACAGATTTTTGTGAAGTCCACGCGCATTTTCTTTCAATTTTATTAATAGCTAAAGCTGCTACCAGATTCTTACAGTAAAAGCATGTATTTGGATATGACAACTGCTTCAATGAAAGCGAGCATCACTTTAGATTTAGCTGCTTCAAAAAGGCAACAATAACAGGCTCAGCTTAATTTCACCAAAATAATGGGAAGTGATTTCTGGTTTTTATAGGCATCTGAATACTATGTCACAACTGGTCAGGATTCTTCACGTTCAAGGAAGGCAAAGACACCAACAATACCAAAATAATGATGTAGATTGAATAATATTTCACATGTTCAACTTCGTATCTTTACAAAAGGTTTTAATTTTATCCGCTATCTCTAAATAAGCTTTGGTGGCTGGAGAGTCTGGTAATTCATCAAGAAAAGATTTTCCTTCATCGCAGCATTTGGCAATTCTTGGATCTAATGGGATTTTGCCAAGGAGATTCACATTCATCGATTTCGATAAGCTTTCAGCACCACCTGTGGTGGGAGGAAATATATGTGATGTTTTGGTGCATTTCGGACACACAAACCAACTCATATTTTCAATGACCCCAACAATTGGAACGTTTACTTTTCTACAAAAATTGATTTCTTTTCGAACATCTGCTAGAGCCACTTCCTGTGGTGTAGTAACAATGACAGCACCATCCACTCCTGCCTGAAAAAAAATATTACAAGACTTACATCACTTTACTATAGTGCTTGACACTCAGGCCAGCCATATTGATTCCGTTACCACAAAAATAATTCAAAAAGCCAGCTGTGCAGCATTATATTCTAAATTATAGATTCTAGAGACAATCAACTCTCACACCCGTTTATTGAGAAAAATCAGCTGTAAGAGGATTACTCCAAGCTTTGTTATAGGTACTCTCGTAGTATGTGTACCAGGTTAGGCTATAATTTTATTCTGATTTTCCTTATTCTTGTTCTATTACGAGTTCGGGGACAGTCTGTGTTAGCCAAGGGAATATCTCCCTGTCCATAGGTTTCAGTCACTTTACACAATTTGATGTAAAATACACGAACAAAATTAGTTACCTCAATATTGGTACACATACTTCAGGAGCGGCGTGTTATAACCAGTGATACATGTGTTTATGGCAGGATTGTTGCAAATTCGCACTATTGAGATATTTTATACTAAGTTGGTTGGCCACAGTTTGTTTCTACCTAGTTAAGTCGCTAACCTTTTTTAGATATTGAACAATTGAGAGATGTTCATCAGAGGTTCCTGGAGGAGTATCCACCAACAAGTAGTCAGTTTCCTCCCAATCTACATCTCGTAAAAATTGTTTGATTAGTCCATTCTTCTTTGGTCCTCTCCATATCACTGCATCCTTCGGACTTGACAGAAGGAACCCCGCTGACATCACAGCCAAATTGTCTTGAACATAAACAGGAGACCAACCGGAACCACTATTGTGAACTTGTTCCCCTGACAGACCCATTACCACTGGTATTGAAGGTCCACAGATGTCAATGTCCAACACTCCAATTTGATTTTCTTCATTTTTTGCAAAACTATAGGCTAAATGTGATGTGACAGTGGTTTTCCCTACTCCACCTTTCCCCGATAAAATGAGCAATTTGTGTTTGACTGGTTCCAGTCTTTCCTTTATCACATCTATGTCTGGATCAGGTGGCTTTGGAACTGACGAAGCACAGATGCTTTGGTTAGGACACCCAGCACATGCTGCGGATTTACCAGCATTTTGACTTTCTGTACCAGGACAATGATTTGGTGCATCATCTGGTACATCAGCCATCATATATTGAAAAATATTTAGTTTGCCAAGTAACTACCGGAACAGGATGCTAAAATGATTTGAAGATAGGCTATGTGAATACTAAACAGCAATGACTGAATGAATACAGAAATATAGTTTTTGTTCAAGCAAGAGAAAGAAAGAAGGACAAACAAAAAAAGATACATAGAAGACTAGGGAAGAGTGTAAAATTTATGTTCAAAAATTCACAAGAAATACAGGTAACGGTAAGCCTAGAGAGAGCCTGTTTACTAAATGAAAATTTAAAAATATGGCAGTTGAATGGTAGTGGTACGGTACCGGTACATTACTTTTTTAGTAAATTTGTCAGATCCATTGGGCTCAACTAAAAAAGATACTGATGACATAAGTTCACATCAAATCACATGTCTATATCGCTAAATAAGCTAGCAATCGCACAAAAAATGACGTCATGTTGGAAAGAAACGCAGTGTGCACATGCAACTGCAAGGTGTAACTTAAAAAATCCAATCACACCACAATCAGCTGAAGGCAAGATAATTTGATAAGCAGATCAGAACACCCACTCTCGTGCAGTCCAAGGTTATATTTAGTCTACCTCCTTAGTTGAAACCTGTACTCGTGAGCATCAAATTTTGCTCACCTCTAGTCAAAGTTTCGTCATATATATATGACACAGCATAATTTATAATGTAAACCATGCCAGATTTTTCCATGCGTTACCGGTACTCAACTCGAGTGTCGAGTCCCTAGCAGTATGTAGCATTATGAAAGTAAGACTTATAATATTGCTGTTTTGTATTTTTTCAATCATAATTAGTGTTCAATAACTCAACTTTCGTATGCTAAACCCGGTATGAGTTATCAGAGTATATCTAATCATAGGCATTGCATAATTTTGAGTTTCTCATTGAAAGTTTTAAGCTGACATAATATATTGACCGATATATCAGAAACAATTACACTAATCTCTACTTTCAATATAAAATATGAGTTTATAAACACTAGATGCCTGAGAAATATTGTTGTTGGGTACTGTATAATGCGATGATCTGGCAACTACCGAAAGAAAAATAATGATGAGATTGCATATCTAAGTCTTGGGAATGAAACAAGTCGCGAGTATGGCTTGTAAGTAGTTCGAGTACACGTTTGTTTATATGTTAATTTATATTCAATGAAGTTTGAATTGTAAATCCTGTAATTTCTTATCTAGTCAGATCGCAGCTTAATTGTCGCATTCAGTGGAAGCAGATTTTTGGCTATAAACCTGTGTCTGTAAAAATAAAAGATGGCTTCTGGCCAAGCAGTGAAGTTGTTTGTGTACGATCTCACAAAAGGCCTGGCAAGTCAGCTGGCCCCTATGATTATTGGGCGACCTCTGGACGGAATATGGCACACATCAATAGTGTGTTATAATCAAGAATTTTTCTTCGGTGGCATGGGAATAGAAAGTTGTCCGCCATGTGGAACTATACTAGGTTCTCCAGATAAGCAAGTTCATTTGGGTTCAACTGAAGTACCATCAGAAATGTTCTATGAGTATCTTTCACAGCTTGGTTCAGATACTTTCAAACCACAGAAATATGAACTGTTCCATCATAACTGCAATAATTTTTCATCGGAAGTTGCCCAGTTCTTAACAGGAAAAGATATCCCATCATACATAACAGATTTACCAGGAGAAATTCTTTCAACTCCAATGGGACAGATGATAAAAAATATGCTCGAAAACACTCAAGTTTCTCCAGGAGCTGGACAAACTACTCGACATTTTTAGAATTTTTTAATATCAGTATTGGAATATTCTTAACTAGTTTGTAATTCAAGACAAAGGGACAAATGTTAAAATAAATCTATTTGAAAAAATAGGTGGTCTTTGAGGTGGTATCTCATTATAGTTTAAAGCAATATTTTCCATTAATTCCATAAAAAGTTGCAGGAATTTAAGTGAGATTCCTCATTTCACCCTTTTGGGTTGAAATTCTTGATTAGTGTTGAAAGTGCACAACCTGTTATCCAAGAACTGGAGTATTGCGGTCTATGGATTGCACAACTTGTCTTGATTGTGTTTGTGCTCAGTTGTAAAATTGCAGATACACATGATTCACTCAAGTGCTGGTATCTATCGCATGAAACTGTAGTATTACTGTTATTTCCTCTAACTTGCATAGTATTATTTTAATATCTTCATTATTATTGATCTTATATATTTGTTTGGCAATAAATGTATTTATTGTTTGCATATGAAAGGATTAAAGCCAACTTTGAAACAGCAAGACAGGCCATACATAACTCAACCCCATATTTAGATCACACCAGCGTGTGTCGAGTTGAATCAGTTTCTAAGATCACTTACGTACAATACCCTCACACAGGAAAAATCGGAAGGTTATTCAAAATTTAATAAATGTCAAATCAAAAAAGAACATGTAACGAGTTAATGCACAAATAAGAAATAAAATATTACACATCAGAACACTGATTTCTCAAACTGTGGGGAGCGCCCAAGAGGGGGCGGGCCGTCAACAATTTTTTGATGTGGCATGAAGCTAATTAAAAACAAAATGTTTGTTAAATTCGATCTTGCCCACTTTATTTTGAATATTTACGTTCCATCCACATATTTTCAACCTGTTTTTGTTTTAAATAGGGGGCGCGGCTTAAAAAGTTTAGAACCACTGTTCTAGAGCAAAACATTGGACACAATACCAGTCAACATCAAGAGCAATTTACAAGCACAATTTATGCACACATGTTGTAACGGTTAAAATGCTTTTCAAAATTAATATTGGCTACAGATAAACCAAATTGTGTAGCTCATTACAAAAGAATCGATGCATGTCATGAAATTTGTTAACTGTACCAGTCAACTCAAGATGTTCTCAAACATTTCAGCAGCTTTAATGAGGCTTTCATCAGATACAGAAATTTGTGAGTAGCCGTGGTTTTTGATACCAAGCAGCTTTCTGTTGTAATTCTGGGAGAAAGAGTCATTCAATATAGTAGCATTCGATCTAGGATTTTCATGAATTTGCTGTTTCGTTGTAGTATTTCCTTTACTGCATCTTGGGGCTTTGAATTCCTTATTCTTTTCCTTTCCCATTAAATGTTCCTTTTTGAATAAATTCGCAAGTTTATTTTCTTGATATATGAGATCACAATTACTATTATTATTCTGCATTGATTCATCACAAGCAGTATTAGCTGCAAGAGACAGTAAAGACAAATCATTTTTATCATCTTTTGATAATATTTCACATGCTTTTGCTAAAGCTGCTTCAGATATAATCACAGGTTTATTGCTCGCAGTTTTAAATCCTTCAAAATTATCCGATCCAGTGGTCGATCTATGTGAAATATCAAAACTTGAATTTTCTGAATTCTGTTTTTCAAAGCTCTTAATGAGCTGTTTTGCTTTAGTCAAGGAGGACTCTGAAACAGAGACAGCTTTCTTCGTTAAAGCCGATGTAAATCCAGGCACAGTGTCAGTCTCAGTGGAGTTGAATTCACATTCCACATTGAGCTGCATTTCTTCATCAAGCTGAGCAACTGCCTCAGCCAAAAGTTCATCATCCGAATCATTCATGGCATTATTGTCAGGTTTTGTTTTATTGACATTTGACAAAATATTTTGTGTACTTCCCATAAATGCAGATAAACCTTTTTTGTCAAAATCTCTTATGTTAACATGTCTTGTTGTCGCATTCACTTGTTTTGGGTATGTATTAGATGTAGGACTTTCGAGCAATTTGATATCACTCTTCATTGGGTAAGAGTTTGACAGTTTCTCATTCTCTATTACATGTACGTTCAATGTGTCCGTAATTTTGTCCGAACTCAGTTTTGTGTCTATCGCTCTTTGGCAAGAATTTTTTCCGAAGGGTAGTATATTATATGGCTTTCCAGAATTTGTGTTTGTCGTTGTTCTATTTTGCTCATTCACAGATGGCTTTATCAATGTGATATTAGTATTTACCAAGTCTTCATGACATTCTTTATCAAACTTTTCATTCAAGTCTACAACCAGACATTCAATTTCAATCCCATCTGTATGAAGAGAGCAATCAAAATTTGCTTTAGTATTCTCTGCTTCACAAATAACATGCTCTCCACTTTCCACTGGTTCGAGTAAAATAGTTTTCTTGCTTTTCTTCAATTTCCTTTTCCTTGACCGTCTTAGCAAAATTGGGCTTGTGCAGGCATTTGTCGGTTGATCATTTTCTTCTATTAGTTCTGATAACAAAATGAGTTCATTATCAGGCAACTCATCATCTTTCACAGTGTTTGCATTATTCAAGCAAGTTTTTATACAGTGAGCACCCCCTGCCTCAATATTCAGTGATGCATTGATATTCACATCATTTAGTTCTTGAAATATCTTCGATGCATGATTCATAGCCGTTTGTGATATCGATATATCTTTGTTGCTTGCCGTTTTAAACCCATGCAAGCATGGATTTTCGACGGAAAGCTCATCTTTATTCAATCTTGTACATTTTGATGAACCCATCTTCGTTAAAATGAAATCATTATTATTTATACAAATTGTTGAAGCAGCTTTTTCTTTGGCACATGGAGTGGCCTTCGATTCCATATCGTCTGCAAATGTGTCTATGCCCTTTTCTTTGCCATTTGTTATGTTGTCAGAAATAATAATGCATTCATTATTAGTGGATTTGTTGGTAATACACGTTTCAATATTAGGACTGAGACGACATCCCTGAGGTGCGGATTTTAAGGGCTCACAGTGTAGATCATACCTTTGTGTTGTGGAGTTAGGAGTAGTTACAGAAAAATTTGAGGTGCTTGTTCGTAATTCTACAGGCTCAAACTTTTGCTTTTTCGCTAGATTGTTGTTGTTAACCATTATCCGCTTCGATGATTTATTTCTGAAAGTTGGTGATGCAGAGTTTTCAATGGAATGGAATCGTCTGCGAATGCCAAGCGACTTTACTCCGCTCCTACGCAATGGTGCTGAAGCTGGAGTGGTTTGTAATACACTGCTTCTGTTGCTTTGCATCGGACTTCCACAATCATCATGATTGTCCTCGTCACTGGGTGACTTTCTGCATGTTGGATACATGAATGCACCTTGTCCTGACTTGGGCTTCAACAATATTTGTGAAAGTGTTGGAGAGTCCATTGTTTGAAACATAAATAGTCCAACTGGGCTAACGTTACCGATATATTCCAGTTTTCAGAGAACTTGTACGAGACAATGGCCAATCATCTTTAAACATCAGTTCATCCCAGCATTCCTTAAAAATAGTACTTAAAAATAGTATAAATCTGTTAAAAACAGACAGCAGTAAAACCTGAAAATATAGATAAGATACCTGTCTGCCTTACAGCTGTACCGTGGATAGGATAGGATTTACATATTTATCCCAGGGAGAGGAAAGCTGATAAGACGGCTCAATCATATGGCGAACCACGGCCTCTCGTCCGGTTACCAGTCCAGGTCGGATATGGGATTAGTTAGCCAGTTATTTGTTTTCGGAAGCATGGACTTGATGGTGATGGAAGCCGTAACCGACCAGCGGTTACGTGAACCACCCTGCGGCGGCGGCGAGGAGTCCAGCAATCCTCTCTATGATAATCATCCCCGCATGGGATTCGAACCTGCGAACCCACGAAGAGTAATCAGAGATGCGGTGGTGAGCGTATTCCTAAAGCTTAGCACAATGCGCCACACCGCCGAGTCGCAAGGTACCATAGGTACGGTACCTTGGCACATGTTCACTAAACAGTCAGTCAGTTCACTAAACGCCGTTTATTATAACTTAAAACTGTAAAACGGTACATCATGTCACGCATAATACATACGAATACGATGAGAGTTATCAACATCACACGAGCTAACCGCAAAGGAAATTAACAAAGATAAGAGCTAACTGCACTGCCGCATGGAAAGTAACAATGAACAGATGTTTCATTTCACCCATCAACATACTGACATAGATAAAAAATTTAAAAGCCCAGAGCTTTAAAAAAAAACTACATTCTGTATCCTGTTATACAAACGTTTTAAATGCTCATAGGTTTTAAAAAGCACTACCTGTACATTCTTTATTCTGTGAACAGTTGTCATACCGCCGATACCGAATGCCGAGATTAAAGTTATAGGCTGGCCGCTTCTGTATCGTTGTGTGTGGGTTCGTTAACTTTGATTTTAGGTAAGTGAACACCGACGACTAACATACCGGTGAACACGTATCGCTTCTTCTTTGCAAAACCTTCCGAGCCTTATCTAAGATTTTGTTTGCTCTCCTGATTTGATAATCAGTTTTATTTATTTCTTTTTACCAGTGGCGGCGCGTGGTCATTTTGACAACCGGGGCAAGCTACTGCGGGACCAAGTCACCCCCATCTACGGGGACAGGATGAGCGCTGTAAGTTCTCCCATCATTTTATGAGTATAAAAACCATTCCATCGGTAACAACCACTCGGCAAAAGCGACAATTTTTAACGATAAGAAAGTGTCTTTAAAACCGGTCCAAGTCAAGGGATTAATAAATATAGACATAGTTTATTTTGAAACCTCTTTCAAAAGGAAAGGCAATATTTACCCAGATAAATACAATGACATATTAGAAGAAACTTCGGGAAAGCAGACAAAACCTAAAATAAGGTTTAAAACGTTACTATGAAGAAAGGAAAGGTAATGCAAAGAAAAGGACATGCGTCGCTCACTCATAGATATATATGCTGCTAGACTTCTACTGCTTGAACATATAGAGGACTTGCACGGGTCACGTGACCTTGTTACTGGACGGCAATAAAACAAAAACGTCCATTTGGCTCCTGTCAGTTGCAAGTCGGATTATACGTTTCCGTTTTGTTTGGCTGTTGAAAATGGTTATTTCGTATTGTTCCGCTGGCTGTACGTATAGTATAGACAACGAAATGGATCTTCAGCTATATTCCACTGTTTTCAAAAGATCCGGAACGTCGCGCAATGTGGATATCATCTATTCGCAGGACTGCTTGGTGTCAAGTCCAGAAGCCATCTTACTCGTGTTTCACTGTTTGCGGACAGCACTTCGTTGATGGTGAGTCATGATGTGCCGTTATCAATTTTTTTAAATATTCATAAGCTCCCTCATTTCAATGGAAAGCAGATGACAAACTACTGTTATTGGTAGGCTTAGGCCTACTTGCAGACTTGACTCGTGTAAGGTATTAATCAATAATTGCCATAAGGTATTGTTTCCCTAGTTAGCAGGTAATCTATTAGTAAG